GGCTTTGCCATCTCTCTGAGCCTCACCCCAGGGAAGGCTTTGCCATTCGCCTGGGTCTGAAACATTGAAGTCTTTGTTATGACTGTGCCTCCCCCCCCCCCGCCATGTCAAACACTGGCTGTTCACTCAGAATCCCTACATCCTTTCTTTTGTGTGTACGTGTGTGTACGTGTGTGTGTGTGTGTGTGTGTGTGTGTGTGTGCTATTTTGGATCAAGCTTAGGGCCTTGTCCATGCTCAGTAAACACTCTTCCAGTTGAGCTATGTTCCCAGTCTCAAATAAGACTTTAGCTATACAATGGTAAAGGAAAAGTTCGTGCTGTTTCTTTCAAAACATTTTCATCATCTTCTTAAATTATAAATATTTTGTTAAAGCACAGTGAAATAGAGCTACCATTCTAATAAGGTATTCCCCTTTAACATGTTGTTGTAGCTCTTTCTGGGTGTCTCTGTGTGTTTCTGTATGTATAGACAAGTCGTTTTCATATTTAAAAAAGTTGAAATCAGCCCAATATTTTCATTTATGGACATATTGTCAACAGTTTTTTGTCATTACATATTTCTATATATTTTTTTGATTTTTAAATATTTATTTATTTATTTATTATGTATACAATATTCTGTGTGTATGCCTGAAGGCCAGAAGAGGGCGCCAGACCTCTTTACAGGTGGTTGTGAGCCACCATGTGGTTGCTGGGAATTGAACTCAGGACCTTTGGAAGAGCAGGCAATGCTCTTAACCACTGAGCCATCTCTCCAGCCCTGTTTTTTGATTTTTAAGATACGTTTTTACAAATAGCCCAAGCTACCTCAAACTCTACATAGCTCATGCTGAAGTTGAGCTTTAGGTCCCTGCCTTTGCCTCCCAATTACAGGTGTGGAGTAGACAGTACATATTCCTTGAAAGCTTGACAGTTTGCATAATATCCTTTTTATATAACAACTTTTATTATTAGTTTCTTTTTTTCCACTATTGGAAATAGTGTTGCGTCAAATCCCAGCGTATAAAAACTTCTGTACATGTCTGATTGCTTCTTGGGTTAAGACCTTCTGTGTGTATTATCAAGTTCTTTTCCAAAATAATTCTGCCCGCTTATAGCTTCTCCTACCAGTTCAGTATTGTGCTTGTCTAAATTGAATGACTTGGTGTCTTAGAACTGTCGGGCTGATTATTTTTAGCTCATAGAATTTTGAAGCAGAAGCAAAAGCAGCTCCAACCCTTTGATTATCCACTCTGGAAATGATAACAGTTACTGATTCTGCCATTTTCACATCGTTTGGCCTCAGTTCCCCCCTGGGCTTTTATGTTGTGCGATGTTGATGTGGGTGTTGTGTGAATGCTGAGTTCCTTAACTGAGAACGGTGTGTCCTATGAATACACTCGCATAGGTTGTCACAACTCTAAAAAGGTGGATATTTTAAAGTCAGTACTCCCAAGAGAGAGGAACAGAGCAAGAAAAAGTGTTGTTCGGCAGCATCCAAGTTACGGGCATGACATGAGGACGTCTGTGTGTAACATGCAGACTGAGGACTGCGGGCTTCCATTTCCTGCTTTCCCATGTGCATTCTTTTAAGATTCTTTATGTGACTTGAACCACTTGAAAGGCCAGATGAAATATGTTCTCATATGCTCCAGTTCTGGAAGCCTCTTCCAGCTCTTATTTATGTCTGGTGATAATGCTTTTGAATCCCACTCGAGTGCTCAACTAGACCTATTCAGGTCATAGTTAGGTCACTTGATGCCATGAGAATACCAAGGATGCTACTTCTTAACTACTTCCTTCTCGATAGGTCTTTCTTCTTGAATGCTTCCCTCTTCGCTCTCTGCTTATTCTGTTGTCACTAGAATCTTAGTCTCCTATAACACAGTCTTCTGCAGAAGACATCTCAGACTCAGAGGTCTATGAGTCATTATGAGTCATACTGTTTTTTTTTTTTTTTTTTTTTTTTTTTGTGTGTGTGTGTGTGTGTGTTTTGCCTTGACTGTGAGACCTAGTAATCCCAAATCCCTGGGTGGCTCATTTGAATTCATCTGTTTGTAATGGGCTTTGCTCAGCGCTGTAGCTTTTGAGAACTCTTAAGTCAGTCAGCTGAAATTCTGGAAGTGTTTTCTCCAAACAAGGTGAAATCTGGGAACTCAACTTGTCTGAAAGGTTAGGAGTGGTTTCCTGAGGTTCGGATATGTGTGGGGTCATTGTGTGGTGGTAGGAGAGACCATGTCTACATGGTGTGGCAATGAGTTTCTGATCTGGCCAGGAGGTCGGAAACCCAGAACCTATTTTGTCCAAACTCTGATAACCATGTTGTTCATTCTGGTTGCTCTGATCTAAACTATCATTTTTTTTTTTTTGTAAAATCAGATTGAATTAAGTCATTTTGAATTCTAAAATTATATGGATTTTTCATTCTCTCCTAGTTCCCCTTATCTCTAAATAACATTTTTCTGTCTTGTTAGTCTTTACCCATGCATAATAATAAATATTTTTAGTTACATAGAGATTAAAGAGCATCAGATGTAATTCATTTAAAAGGTAGATGGTTACGTGTAGCGGAGACAACAGAATATTAAAAATATGATACATGCTAATAAAACACTGGTTAATGGGAGAGGCTGTGAGCTTGCAGTAGGGTTTTTATAATTTTGTATCACAGTCCTGTTCATATGAGGCAAGCCGCATATTATAAAACTCGTAACTCTTTGAATTGAAATCTTGGTCCCAGTAATAGAGCAGGATGACTTATTTTTGATCTATACCTCCCATAAATACAATTTAGAAGCTCTAAGGGAGACCAGATAGAATAAAGATAGCAGCTGTAATCAGCGATTGCACACTGGTCCAAACACTTCATAATTTCCCAAACATTTATCCTCCCAGTAGCCTGGAAAAGAGGGCACAGTTATTCTTATCTTCCCCTCTTACAGCTGTGGACATGGTGGCATACAATACTGGAACTTGAATCAAGGCTGTGTGATTTTGGAGCCCACTCTCTTTGTGCCCAATGTGAAGACAAAAGTCCAGGTGAGGAGATAAGGCAAGAGAATGGCCCAACTCCGAGAGCATCTGGTGTAACTATGACCTTGAAGCAGACATTTGTAGATAGTAGTGGAAGTGTCCTTGCCTTCTTAGCTCTTACCGTGACACTCTTTTTTTTCTAGTGTTCTTTTGTTTCACTCAGCCGGGCACTAGGACATTCGGGAGCTCAATTCTTGCCATTGTCCTGGATCAAATCTCCCACCAAAGTTTCCCCAGCTCGTTCTCTCTGTTTGTTGCACAAGACTCAAATACAGAAAGGCAGAGGAAACAGGAGTTTGTGGCCACCATAAATCTTTACCTACTCCATATAAACCTGAGGCAGGCATAGAACTTAAAGCTGAAACGGGCTGTACCAAGAGGCAACAACAACAAAAAGAAATAAAAAAAGAAATAAAAAAGGGACAAAAGGAAAGAAAGACAGAGAACAGGGACGGTGCATGCACACTGTGCAGACTGAGTGCTTTTGCGGTCAGATTTGCTGTGGATCAAAAAGACCACTTTTAAGTTCCAGCTTTTCCTCAGCTAGACTCTTTGCACTAAATTAAGGCTCCTCAGTTTGACCCAAAAGACCAGAAAATCCCACCAGTCATCTGAGCTTGGGAGTTAAATTCAGAAGTGTAGGAATGGCTACTTGGATTGGAAAGGTGACTCCATTTCTTACCGGTAGTCCTGATAGTCCATCTGCAATGATGTGCTTGCACCCAGGGCCATGATGATTCAAAGTCCCCTGGGTTCCCTGATGTGGGGACTTGTTCCTTTGGGTCTTCTGCCTCTTTGGGGGTGATTTCTTATCTCTGCTCTGTGGTAGAAGTTAATCTTCTGCTGCTGGACCCCTTTTGTCGGGCCTACTTTTGGGGGGACCTCGGTAGTGGTGAAGTGAAAGAGGTTTGGGTGTCTGCCTGCTTCAGGGAAAAGGGGTATGTGTTTAGGGACCCTGAGTTTGTTGGAGTGATATCTTTTTGCCACCTTCAAATACGTTTTCCCCACGTTCTTCCTCCCCTCTCCGTTTTCAATTCTTCTTGCTGTCTGGGATCTGTCATTTTACACATCGGTCCTCAGCTATCTTTCTTCCTTGGAGCTGTCATACACTGCTTTTATGTCCTCCCCTCCCTTCCGCCTTGAATCCCCTCTCCCTTCCGCTTACTCTTCATTTTCTCCCCTGTTCTTCCTGGATTTTGTTGTCGTCATTGCTTTGTTTTGAGACAGTGTCTTTGCATCCTAGGGGCCTGGAATTTAGGATGCCCTTGAACTCCTGCTGGTCCTCCTGCCTCAGTCTTCCCAGTGCTAGGATTACAAGCATGGACCATCACACCTGGTTCTCAACTTTTTTTTCCCTATTTTTCTCCAAATTTTCTGAGCAAAAGAAAATGGTGTCTTTTGCAGTTAATTAACTTTTTTTTTCACATTTATTCCCAGGTTAAATAGAGTTTAAAGGCTATAATAAATTTTTCTTGATCAGTGAGTTTTAGTGGGGTATAGCTTTTGTTTTTAAATATATTTACATTTGATGAAAACTTGACGGTTATCAGATAGTGGTGGTGCACAACTTTAAAGCCAGTACTTGGGGGGCAGACACAGGTGGATCTCTGAGTTCCAGGTCAGCTTTGTCTACAGAGTAAGTGCCAGGACAGCCAGGACTACACAGAGAAACCCTGTCACAAAAAACAAAAATAAAAACAAAAACACTTGGCTGTTTTTTCTTTATTAATCTCTAATCTTCTATACATATCTGAAATGGTTAAAATTTAAAATTATGATTGTTTCCTTCAAAAGGCTTTTAAAATCTTTTACATAATTTTTATGAGGCTTGTTTCAAAATGTTTCTGAAAAACTGGTATATGAATTGAATAACTAGTACATGTTTTAAATTGGGTTGTAGGGTTGTTTGTGACAACTCCCTGCCCAGGAGAGCTGAGTGACCTTGGACAAGCCATTAAAATCCATGTCTCATTTTCCTCATCTGTAGAGTGAAGACAGCATTGGTTCCCACTTCACAGAGTCCTTGGAAGGAATAAAGGAGTTATATAAAACAACACAGGTCAGGACTTGGCACAAAGCAAATGATCGGTTGTTGTGTTGTCATTATTTAAAAAGCAAAGTGCAAGGAAGTTAAAAGCAAAAACTTATTTTCCCCATTATAGTGTTGCAGACAGTGTTTAGTGGTTATAATGAGCCTGCCTTTGGAGTCAGCCTGACCTGGGTTTTAATCTGAGCCCTTCCTCATCTTGTAGCCCAACCTTTTCTCCGGGTGGCATTTGAATAATGCTGTCTGCCTCTTGAGCATGAGAATCACAGGCAAGTGTAATGAAGCATGTAAGATACCTTGGCATGCAGGAAACACACCATAAGTGATCTTTGTTATCTTTGCATTAAAGTATAGTTTGGAATTGGGCTTCGTGGTGTATGCTCGTAATTCTAGCACTCAGGGTGCTGAAGCAGGAGAACCATATTTGCACTGTATAGCAAGACTTTGGCTTAAGAAAAAAATAACAAAAACCCAAAACAAATTAAACAAGCCAACAAGCCTAATTGGTACATTTTCATCTAGTCTTTATTTGCATATTTCAAACACTGATGTCCACATTATTAGTGCAATTATACATCTTTTTTCAAATAACATTTCATCACAAATGCCTTTATACTAATTACATAAGCTTCGAAACCATCATTTTGAAGTTTCATTAAGCAGTTATAGCTTACTTTGGTATTTAGTACTAAGCATTGAGGTTCTTTCTAACTCACAGTGCTTTTCAATGTTATAATGTCACAAAGGGACACAAGGTGAAACATCTGGAGGCTAGACCCTTTTATGTTTGTAATGCTGTCTTAGAAAAGATTAACTGAAGAACTCCTACAAATGTCACTGTTTCCCTGGTCTTTGTAAACTTTCCTGTTTCTTACTAAGTGATTTCCAGATGGAATGTATGGAATGTACTACTCTGTCCTCAGGACCCAGAAATTCCTCAGGGCTCAGTGGATATTTATTGATTTAAAGTGTTCATTATTATATTATTTTCCAGAAATGGCAATAATTTTATGATTCTATTCTCTTTTGATCTAATATTAAAGCAGAGTAATTTCTTTCCAAATACAGAAACAATGGGATGGGAATAAGAACATTAGGCATGGGTGATATATTTTATATATGACCATTATTATTATCTATTGAATTTTAGTTAGTGTAGAAAGGAGGGGTTTTCAATGTGACCTCTTCATACCTGTATATGTATGTATTTTGTTACTATTTGGACAACCACAATTTTTTCTCCTCATCTCCACTTCTATGTTCTTACTAGGTTCCTTTCAATCTGTAAATAATTCCTCCTGTCTTTATGTCATACATATTTCATGAACCTCTGTTGATTCCCCCTTTAGACTTTTTCCTTCCTTCTGACAGTCTTCCTTTTACTTTATGGTTAGAATAACATATACCTATACAAATACATATAATTTAACTCTATTCTGTATATGAGATAAAGCCTACAATATTTGTTTTTCTGAGTCTGGTTTTGCTTACCAAATGATCTCCATTTTCATCCATTTTCCTGAAAATGCTTAATTTTGATCTTTTATGGCTGAGTTATGGAACATACACACAACACAGCCTTGTTGTGTGCATACCACATTTCTTTTTTCCGGTTGTCTGTGGGATGGGCCTTTAGACTGAATAGCAAACAGTAGACATGGATGTGCAAGCATCCCTAGTGTGATGACTTGGGAGCCCGAGTACTTTGCATGAATTTGTCTTGTTCAGATGGCTCAACACTTGTCTGTGGTGGGTACCCGAAATGAGTCTGTAATAAATGAGAAGGCACAGGCAGGTGAGTTTCCTTGCCTAAGACCACACAGGGGGCAAGACTTAGTGCTATATTCAAATCAGGTGGTTAGGTCTCTGTCTTAACACTCAAGAGCAGTCTGCGTACATGTTGGCTTTCAAATCGGAAAAATTATATTACTGTGTTTCTGCTATGAAAATGTATGGTCTTGGTCTTAACAGTGCTGGAGATTAATCCCAGGGCTTCCTGCCAGGCAAGTGCTCTGACACCGAGCTCCAACCCCTAGGCTAAGCGGCTTTAAGATAGAGAACCACCCTGTTTCTCTATCTCACTCTCCTAGCAGCCCACGTCTTTATGTCTGCCATGTAACAGGCATTTCCCAGAGAACCCGAATTGGCCAGTTAAATTCCAAATAAGGTAAACAAATTGAAGAGTTGTCCCCCACCTTGAGGATTTCACATGAATTTCTCCACAAGACCTGGAATTGCTTTCAATGCTTGGTTTTAAAGGAAATTCCTTTAAATAAATACCTTTGTGCCAAAGGAAAGAATTTTAAATACTTCTTATTCAAACGAAAGACGTTCATAATATTTTCTGCATCGAAGACAGGTTTAGAGCTTCATCCACGTGGGACTTATTAATCCGTGGAGATTTATCTGAGACTAAGCAGAGGATATGACCCTAGGAGTCGACCAGTCAAAACCCTGCCTGCGTAATTGGTTGACTTGGTGAAGTGGCTTTTGAAAACTGCTACGGTTCTTCAGCTTTTCTTTACCACTTACTAGTTTCTGACAGGAACCGGGGATTTTAAAATACCAGTTTGCCTAAGTGCTGCCAGACTTCGCCTTCTGAAAGCTTGAGGTGTGGTGATATACAGTTAGCTCCAACTCCCAGGAGGCTGAGGCAGGAGGATTTCAAGTTTAAAGACAGACTGGGCTGCATAGCAATACCCTGTATGAAAACCAAAACAGAATAAAACAGCTAGTCAGACAAATGAAGTCAGTACTCCTTTACCTTTAAATCTGTACAGATTTTGTTTTTATCATTTAGTGGCTTTCTTAAATGTTGCCATTATTCAAAGATTGCTTCTAGAATTCTTCACGGCTTCTTCGTGTGCCCCTCCATAGAGTGTATGATGATGAAGGCCACCATCATATGTTGGCATTTCATTATTTTGCCATTAATTATGGCACTGTAGCTCCCAAAAGGGACTTAGTACTTTGCTCATCTGTGTTTTTTTGTCCCCAAGAAATGATGGGCATGGTTAGCACCAAAAGACCTTTAGTGATGTGGTGAAGGAGAAATGCCCCTGATAGCCAATAGCCTCAGGTATTTGAACCCTTGGTCCCCAGTGGGCAGCACTGCTTGGGGATCTTTAGGAGGTGGAACTTTGAGGGAGGAAGTATGTCTGAGGCTGGGCTTTGTGACTTGCAAACCCCACTTCTAGTTCTCTTTGCTCTTTGCATGGAGTTGAAGCTATGATCCCCACCATCGCGGATTCCCCCTCTGAATCTGTAAGCAAGAACACGTATGCTCGTCCTTTGGTTGCTTTTGGTCATGGTGTGTTGTTAGAGCAATGCAAAATCACTGAGCAAGTGGGAGACAAATGCTGCTTGGACAGCTGGCCAAGGTGTTCTATGCATAGTCAATTTATTGGGGCAGAAATGCTTCCCGTGGGTATGCTTGGCTTCTGTTGGGCCCAGCAGTGAGACTCCTTTGCTAGAAAAGCAGTTGGAGTGTGGTGAGATGCTTGGATCTGAGGATATTGCAAACACTGCTTGTGCTTTGTTCTCATTCTGTTTCTCCTAAAGCTAGAAAATTAAGACTTCATGGCAATAGTGTGAAAGCTGCAAACACATCTTTCCTCCCCCTCCCATCCCATTTTCTCTTCCGTATGACCCAGGTTGGTTTTGAACTTGATGTGAAATGGAACCTGGCTTTGAACTACTAATCCCTTGGTCTCTACTTCCAAAGTGCTGGGATTGTAGCAGTGTACCACTACACTAGGCAGCAAACAAACCCTTTAAAGGCCTTAGGACACTAAGAGAGTCACTCTAGATTCTGCTTCTTTCTAGTCAGGCACATTACTGACAAAATTTCGAGTTTCACTTCTTCTGTGTTACTAGCTCAGACAGGGCATGAGGATTGATGAGTCCAGGAGTATTGTGTGCTTAGCATGGCACAGAAGAGGGCTTTGCCTGCCTGCTGAGGACCAGTTCTTCCCTGGACCCAGATTCTATTTGTATTTGTTCCTGGTGTTGACCAGTGCTGTGACCAGATGTTGCTCACCATCTGGTATGTCAGCAGTCATGAAAGCACCAGTAGCGTCTCTGAGGTGATTTAATGAGCAAGGGAAAGACACTGTGAATGTACAGATGATGGAGGTGGGACTCTGGTGGCATTTCTTGTGGGCCACTGGACACTGACTGAAGAGGGCCTTGTGGTGAAAGACACCCTCATCCCGTATCCCCATCCTCCACCCCTCACCCTCCATCTCCCCACCCCATCTTGGGTCACAGGGAGACTAGAAGGTTCAACACTGTTAATGCAAGCATGTTGTATACAAGTGCCTTTAGATGTCCCATTTAATTCTTTTTCTTAATAATTTAATTAAACTTGTTTTATGTGCATTGTGTGTGAAGATGTCATATCCCCTGGAACTAGAGTTACAGACAGTTGTGACCTGCCATGTGGATGCTGGGAATTGAACCCATGTCCTCTGGAAGAGCAGCCAGTGCTCTTAAATGCTAAACTATCTCTCCAGCCTCATTTCATTTCATTCTTCAAGGTAGCATTGCAAAGCAAAATGCTTCTTCTGTTCTCTCCACCCAGGCAAGCAAGTAAATTCATTGAGGTGAGTGCTCATTGTAAAAATAGCTGGAGAAATCCAGGTTGAAGTTCTAGGCTGGCCACTTGACAACCGTCTGGCCTTAAATGCTCACTGTTCTAGATCTGTCACTCCGTAACCATGTGGCCTTAAGTTCTCACCCTTCTGGGTTTAGGAACTGATACTGTTCAAAGGAAACACCTGATTTAAAGATGTGTAAATATTACTGACTTACACAGAAACATCACTGTGGGCCAGGGTGGAAATAAAAAAAAAAGGAGAATTATCTAGGAATCTGTTGGCAACAGTTAGATTTTGTACATTCTGTTGCTGACAATTCATTGATAAAATGTGTATACACTATGACTTGCTATTTTATTTCAGAACAAGGAAGGAAAAGGAGAAGCTATGCTTTGGCTTAAGTTTGATGAGTGG